GAGAATTTTGATGAGGACGTGTATATACTAATCACGTACTACCTGATAGTCGCTGCACATTATAACAGTTGCTCGAAGCAAATCATAACTAAAATTGACGATCGTGAACGGTGTAGGCAATGGCAACGGGGGCTAGGCAGCCAGTGCACAGGCCTGGCAGGAGTGACAGGTCGGTCACTGTTCAACCTACCATGCTTCTTTTTGAGTTGGAAACCACGCAAGTATCTATCTGAAGAGAGGCTAAATGTGAGGAGAGAGAGAGACTCTTTTGAGCCCGTCAGAGAGAGGAAGAGTGTCAGGAAGGAGAGAGAGGTTGCGTGAAAAAGAATACAGAGAGAGAGAGAAAGAAACGTTTACCATGAGAGAGAGCGGGGCGGGAATGTTGGCTACAGAAGGAAAGGAAAAAGGTGAGAGGTAGTAATGCGCTAGAGCAACAGCTTTCATAAATATATACTCCCTCTGTAAAGAAATATAAAAGTGTTTAGATCACTACTTTAGTGATCTAAATACTCTTATATTTCTTTATAGTAATGCGCTAGAGCAACAGCTTTCATAAATATATACTCCCTCTGTAAAGAAATATAAGAGTGTTTAGATCACTACTTTAGTGATCTAAACACTCTTATATTTCTTTACAGAGGGAGTATTTTTGAATGAAGCTTCCATAAATATTGTTTATGAGAAATGGAGGGAAAAAGCTCTTCAGTAACTCTTGTAAACCCAAAAGGATTTATGAGATCTTTAAAAACATCTAACTTTTCGCGCAACTACACGGGAAGATAGCCCTTTGTGTATAATTTGACAGTAGATATTATTTTTTACAGAAACTGAGAGAAGTAAATGTCAGACAACTCTTGTATGTGGAGATATTTACAATGAAGAAAGTTTTTTTTTCTCATTATGCGATATGATGAATTAATGATTGGACCCCAACCATGTCAGATTGTGCATTGTTTTGGGGGTTACATTATGTTTGAACATTTTATTAATATATTAAGAGGAATTAAGTCTATTGTGCAAAATCTTATATTACTTCATGACACAAATTTAAAATAGGATATTCATCATTTTTGGACTATTTCGTGTTTTCCTTGGAACTTCCCCTTGACTAAGAGCCCCTTTTTTTCTGAATTTAATTCCTACGGATAGTTATACATGGATCGTGTTTTATATTAACTTCCGAGCTTACAATACTCAACACATACATGTGATATAACAATTAAAAGACGTTTTGCCTTGACTACTGCGTACAAATAACCTGGCCACTTATTTTAGCATATTCTAAAAAATAACTTATTTTAGCATACAACACCCAAAATTAGTGGAAGAATGCATGCCAATTTAGGTGTATTGTAATTAGTCAAGGAGCAATTGATGGAGCGGAATTTGGCTATGCGCGTGGAGTTTGTACCAGTCAATTCTTTTTTATTCTGCATAGTGGATCACTGTTTCTAGTACTATGCGGTCATAAAATTGATTAACTTCTTTTTTACATCAAGTTACCCACCCATCACGTCTTGCATGAACAAATGAAATAAGACCATGGCCCATAAAGTAACCGGTGATAAGCTTATATGTGGAGTTAGAGCATCTTCAGCCGCGCCCCCAATAAGCTCCCCCAGGCGATTTTTCAGCCACCGGCGTTCAAAAATCGGCCCAGTCGCGTCTCCAATGACCCATTTTTCGCCGGCTCGGGCCGAAATTGGCGCCAGCGGACCCAGCCCGAACCCGGCGCGCTGGGGGGCGCTCGGGGGCGCTGGACGAATCGCTTTTGGTGCGAAAGCGTCGTGGGCCAGCTGCGTCACCGACACCGCCCGCCTCGTCTTCTCCCAACGCATCGGTTTTCCGCGGGGAATCAATGGCAAGGCTGCCGCCGGTCAGCTTTCCCATTGATTCCTCACGGGCGGCGCGTCACGGGGCGGCGCGCCGACGCCTCCCCTCCTTCGGACGCGCACACACGGACGCGGCGCGGCTATATATGGCCTCGCTCGCCTGTGATGAGTGCCACCTCTCCACCTCTCCCGAGCGCCGCCGCTGAGCTCTTCTCTCCCGCCGATCTCTTCTCCCCAGCCACTCCATCTCCCTGGTGGCCGAGCGTTTTCCCGGAGACGAGGCGGCGGCCAACGGCTTCGGCCGCCGTTCGCTCCGCGAACAGGAGTCCTGGCTCCTGTTCCAGGCGAACATCCCGGCGCCGCCAGACATGCGCGCCGGGCCGACGGGCTGGAGGCTCAGCAATGGGGGAGTGCTCATTCCCCCATTACTAGATGCCGTCGCCAAGCCATCCTACTTCGCCGACGAGGTCGAGATCGCACGCGCCTCCCTCACCGCCGAGCTCTCCCTGCCCCAATACGCCGCCGACAACCACGCGGCTCGGGCGGCGTACTTCGAGCGCCGCCAGCAGAAGTGGCTGGCGTCCACCAACGGGGCGCCGGTGGTCGGCGGCATCAAGAACAGCGAGGGGCGCCACCTGTGGTGGGGCGTCCCCGGCCGCACGCTTGAGGGCGTGCTGACGCACCTCGAGGGCGGCAACAACCCACCGTTGGCGTACCCTCCGGCCGCCCCGGCGCACCGCCGACTCGACGGGCAGTGGGCGCCAAGGAGGTTCGGCTCCTCCTCCTCTTCTTCCTCATCGCGCTCTTCCTCCCAATCCTCCGGCACTCCGACGCTGCTCGGCGTCAAGGCCGAGCCCGCGGCGGAGACGCCGCTCGGCCGGCGCACTCGCAGCGCCGGCATCGTCATCAGCGAGGGCGGACGGCGCACGTCCTCGTCGGCTCCTCCCCCGCACTTCGTCAAGCCGAAGACGGAACCGGGTCTCGCGCCGGTGAAGACGGAGTCGGGGAGGGGTCATCATCATCGACGACAGCGACGACGACGACGACGCGCCGCCGCCCCCGCCACCAGCCGGGGAGGGGTCCAGCATGGGCGCCCGAGTGAAGGAGGAGAAGGCCGACGATGGCGGCGACGACGGCGACTTCTCGGCCTTCAGCAAGTTTTTTATTAGTTTTTACATGTAATGGCGACTACTCGACCTAAATCGGCGAATATAAGCCCAAGTTTGCCGAAATTTGGCGTGTTTTAGCCAAAATTTGCTACACAGTTTTTTTTCCCGCGCCTGGGGCCGGCCCTGGGGGCGGCGGCTGGGGGCTAATTCGCCCCCAGGCCTATTTTTTGCGCCGGGTCACCCCCAGGCGGCGATTTTAGGCGCCCCCTGGGGGGCCAACGACTGAAGATGCTCTTAGAGCATCTATAGCCGAACAGCTGGAAGATCGTGCATCCCGTGCTGGGTTTGTGGTTGGTGGCTGATAGTTCTGGTTTCCTCCTTCGATGTCGTTGTCGTGCGGAGGTGTCAGATCTAGAGTTCAATGGCGTGTCCGGGGACATGTTGCTCCAGTCTGATTCTTTCAACTGCAATGGTTTTGCTTCTGGCAAACTACTTTCGAGGTTCGTAAACCGGATCTTTATTTTATAAATAAGACACTTATTACTATGAAAAAAAGAAGCACAAACCTGCTCGGTCTGCAGAACAAAGATTCTTGCTCACATGTTGTTAAAACGGCCACGACCATACACGCCACCCGCTGCCAAAAATTACCGTCCCAATGAGCAAAAGACGTGTAGTCATATCGCTGCATGTGACATGCTGAACGGCTCAGTGACGCTCTACATTTATCACCAACCAGGCCGGGTGCATCTCTTTTCCTAATAGCAGCCTGACATGTCAATCCGGATGTAGACAGGTGCGATAGATTCTACCCTATGATGAACAGTGCGAGCAGCTCCATGTTTGCTTTATCTCCGGCGGCTTAATGAAATCTTAGACCTGCTAATACAACTAGTCGTACAGAGCCTGTTCCAGATCTCGGGGAGATGTTTTCTGAATGGATGCTGGTGATAACCGGGTGCGGTGTCAAAATCCACTCTCCTAATAATTAGTAATTCTTGTGCTTGAATTGTAACATTTACATTTGAATAATTGTTTCATTGTTATTTCATATTTGATTATTTAAATGTCACGTGGGAGAAGGAGGAGGAGGAGGAGGAGGAGGAGGGGCGGACAAGTATAGGCCCCTGTTGTCGCACCGATGTTCTGCCCTTCGGCTCGGCATATGGAACCTCCCGAGGTATGCCCACGAGCAATGCAACATCTACGCAAGTCTTGTTACGTGATTAACGTAAGAGCTGAGATGACAGTTTTTGTTTGGAGAAAATTAGGGAGGAGGGCCCATCTAATTGAATTAGGGGGGCAGAGAGATTAGTTGTAGGAAGATTACATAAGGATTAGTAGAACTTTACGTAGATAGCATTTTTGGTTCGCCCACCCCCCTTTCCCGAGAGGAGGGGAAAACTGAAAGACACCGTTAGATGCCCTTTCGACGACGGATAAATAAAGACGTCCGCGGAGAGGTATACGAGCACATTTGGGAGATGCCGTTGGAGTTGCCTTAACTTGCTTCTTGCTTGCGTGATGATTGGGTGGGAGGAAGAGAACGCGGAATTTCCAAGTGTTTTCCCTTGCTGCCCCAGCGCGTTGATTGCCTTTGCCGTATGGCCTGTGGAGGCAATGACCCAGCAGGAGCCGTGTCACTCACTCTGACCGTCTGTCGCTCCTCGGCCGTGCTCGGTCGATTCCTGTTATCAAGAACACACAGTACAGGTAGCTATAGCCTATACACGCGGTTTCAGTTGAGCACGAAAACGAATGATAGAGGAGCAATCATATTCGGCCCAAGTCGTGAAACCCAATTGTTGGTGCAGCAGCTTCGTGAGATGCTCAGCTCGTTAAACGGCATGGTTATCTCCTTGATTAGAACTGAAGATATGATGAAACCCGGAGACCGGAGTGGCGACTCGGTCGCCGTCAAGGTCGTCGCAATGGTGGCCCAGGCCGTGGAAAATACCAACAAGAAACCATGTGGACACATGCTCCCATGTCCCATCCTTGAGCTCAAAACCGCAGCCTGCTAGCAGAGCAAGCGCCACGAACCAATCCACCCTCGCCAATGGCGTCCCACAACCACAAACCAGAATCCCTGCTGCTAGCATGCCTCGGCGCGGTGTTTGCGGCAAGGCTCGCCGCCGTAGCAGGAGCACCAGCGCAGCCTAGCAGCGACTGCCAGAGCAAGTGCGGCGACATTGACGTCCCTTTCCCGTTCGGCATCGGGCCGGAGTGCGCGATGCCGGGCTTCAACCTCACCTGCGACGACGTCGGTGGCCGCAGGGCGCTGTTCCATGGCAACGTGGAGATCGTTGGCCTCCCGCTGGAGCGAGGCCAGGCCCGGATGATGAATGTCATCTCCTCTGCCTGCTACAACGCCGCCTCCGGGGGCATGAAGTACAACGACTGGCAACTCAACCTCACAAACACGCCCTACAGGCTCTCCGACACCGACAACAAGTTCACGGCCGTGGGGTGCAGAACGCTCGCGTACATCAGCGACGAGCGCAACACGGGCAAGTACATGAGCGGGTGCGTGGCCATGTGCCGGCGAGGCGAGCAGGGCGCCCTGCGCAACGGCCCCTGCTCCGGGATAGGCTGCTGCCAGACGGCCATTCCGGGGGAGCTGCAGTTCTACCGCGTGTGGTTCGACCCGAGCTTCAACACCACGGAGATCCACAACGTCAGCCGCTGCAGCTACGCGGTGCTGATGGAGTCGTCAAACTTCACCTTCTTCCCCAGCTACGCCACCTCGCCGGAGTTCAACGACAGATTCTACGGCCGGGCGAAGGTGGTGGTCGACTGGGCCATCGGGAACGAGACATGCGAAGTGGCTCGCGTGAAACGCGACTCCTACGCCTGTGTCAGCGACAACAGCGAGTGCTTCAACTCGGCAAACGGACCAGGATACATCTGCAACTGCACCAAAGGATTTCACGGCAACCCTTACCTCAAAGATCCGGCCCACGGCTGCATAGGTACAAACAAACCTCCTTACCATCGACTTCATATCGTGGAATGTCTTGCCATTGGGACATCTTTTTTTGAACGCTGAAATTTGTCACTCTAGATGGCACCTTTTACATAGTAGGCCAAATTGCAGCAAGTTGTTAGATTAGCAATCGACGCACGGTCTAAAATAAGACGTATTTTTTGTCTTTATTTTCAACATCACTGTCGTCCCCATATGAGGTGCGGGACCACGTGAAGTTTCGTTCGACCCACACACAACTCCCGTATAGAGTGAGCTTCAATAATTGGCTCTAAGAAGACAAAAATGAAGGCTGATAGGTCAGGAATGGAGGGTGCTTCAGAAATTATGACAACTACATGTATAACAAAATCGCCGTATCATCAGTAGATTGGCTTCTTATGTTAACTTTGCTAGAGTTACTTTTAGGGATGCAACTGGGGCGGACAAAACCTGAGAGCCAAACAGTCTGACCCATCGTAACTAATTTTCTTAGCAAACAATTTAACGGACGTCAATTTGTAGGTGTCCCAGTTTTACAAAGAGAAAAAACGAAGGGATTTAACCCGGACTTTGTTTTTGGCGGGCAGATTTAACTCGACTTGCAAGCATGCATGGGCCTGGTCGATGGAGAATTTATATATACATAAGTATTTGATTTGAGATGCATTACGATAATCTTGTTGTCAAACGGGAAATTGATGTCCATGTCGGGCTACTATTTCTCAACCAACAAAGGGCAGGGTCGGATATGTTATTCTATTACCAAGCGACCAGCTTGGTAAGCTATCTACCAAAATTGCAATCAAGGATATGTTATTCTATTAATTTAAATAAAAAAGTGTAGAAAAACTGGATACTTTTGCTAAATAAAAGTTGGGGAAAGGTAAAACTGATGAAGTGGTACATAAATATAACAAGTTTACACACCAACGAAATGTGTAGCTTAAGTCAATTTTTTTGTGTACTACCAGCATTTTAAAATATATGAAGTTTTAGATTTACCCTTAGTCAAACTTCATTAAGTTTGACCATGTATATAGAAAATTATATTAAAAAAACTAAAACAGTAAATATATAATGTAAAAAATAGTTTTTAGGATGAATCTATTGGTGTTGTCAAAATTGTGTGTGTGTGTGTGTGTGCGCGTGTGTTTACATATTTGATCAAACTTAAAGATGTTTGACTTGAAGCAAACCTAAATATTCAAATATTTTAGAACTGGAGAGTATAACCTAGTTATACTAATTAGTACCCGCCATAAAATATTCCAAATTAAAAAAAAATGGAAGGGGTACAAACAAACACATTGCGCTGATCTTGATGCTATATTCGATGGTCCTCCCTACAGAGAAATTCTATCAGGAAGTAGCACTTTTATATTTATATAATATATTATAAATATGTGTTTAGCACTCTAACTTCCTGCTTATTTCTTAACCAGTAGATAGATGACCATGTTTTCTTCCCTAAATGCATAACTTGACAATTGATAAAGCGAACATTAGATACTGCTTTGTTTAGCATGTCTTTTACTTAAGCATCTAAATATGAATGTTAATCAAACCATGTGGACTGTTGATTTTTTTTTATCATATGAAATTGGTTAGTTACACATTGTTTTGAAAATATGCAACTTTAGGTCTAGAAATGTGCAACTCTGCGGTTGCACATATTTTGTGCCTAAAATTGCATGCATTTATTTTACACCTCTGGATCCCAAATGTGCAATTTATTCTTGCTTAGAAATAGCAATTTCTTTGTGGCCCTGGAAATAACAAGGCTGTTTTGCTAATAACCGCTTCTGCTTTGGGATTAGTAATTATTTTAGCGAGGTTCTACCGAAGCAAAACTCATGTAACTGATATTTGATTGCAGATATTGATGAGTGCGTAGATCTTCAACCTTACCCTTGTTCTGTCCGTGGAAGTTGCAAAAATTTACCCGGTCGATTTGAGTGTGTGTGCCCTGACGGTTACACAGGCGATGCAAAAAATGGGACCTGCGAGAGCAAGAGACCTCCGCGCAACCAAACACTTGGTCCTGGAGCAAAACTCGCAATTGGTACACCCATAATCCATACTACACATACTACATCTTTACACCAAAGTGGATTTCATTATAGAACAGTTAATCCCTTTCCTCAAATTAAGAAATTACACTGTATGTTCTCTCCTCTAAGTAGACCAATTTAATAACTTCACGCCAAAAAAAAGTGCGAATGTGCATCAATGTCAAAAACACTTGCTAAAAAAAACCTTGCTAAGCACCCGCAAAAAAAAAAACCTTGCTAATGACTAGCCTTCATTCATCCCTGCAGGCGCTTCTGTCGGCATTTTGGTTGGTCTCGTTGGTTTCCTTGGAGTAGAGGTGATCCGCCACAAAAGGAGTACAAAAAGAGAAGCCCTCAATAGACAGAGCGACGAATATTTCAAACAGCACGGGGGCGAGATACTAGCAGAGATGACGAGGGACGGGCACGGGCGAAGCATCCCCTTCACCGTCTACACAAGGGACGAGATCGAGGCGGCAACGGATAGCTTCAACAAGGAGAACATCGTCGGGGAAGGCGGGCAGGGGACGGTCTACAAGGCGGTCCTCCGCGACACCGCCGTCGCGGTCAAGAGGTGCAAGGAGGTGGACGAGAGCAGGACCAAAGACTTCGTGCAGGAGCTGGTGATCCTCTGCCGCCTCGACCACCCCAACATCGTCAAGCTCCTCGGCTGCTGCCTGCAGTACGAGGCGCCCATCCTCGTCTACGAGTTTGTGCCCAACAGAGCCCTGCAGGAACTGCTGCACCCCAGGAACCAGAGGTGCCGCGTCACGCTCGGGACCCGTCTGAAGATCGCCGCGCAGTCCGCCGGAGCACTCGCGCACCTGCACTCGGCTGAGCGCCCGATACTCCACGGCGACGTGAAGCCCGCCAACATCCTCCTCGGCGACGGCTGGGTCGCCAAGGTGTCCGACTTTGGCTGCTCCACCATCGACGAGATCACCCAGGTTGTCCCCAAAGGCACGCCGGGGTATCTTGACCCGGAGTACCTCCTTGATTACCAGCTCACCGTCAAGAACGACGTCTACAGCTTCGGGGTTGTTCTTATCGAGCTCCTCACCGGGAAGAAGCCGTTGTCCAAGGAAAGGAAGAGCCTCACTGTGATGTTTCAGGAGTCTATGGCGGATGGCACACTCCATCAACTCCTTGACAGGGGAATATCAGATGAGGCTAACATGGCTGTGATTCTCCAGGTTGCAGAGCTGGCGAGTCAATGCTTACTTGTTCCCGGTGCAAGTAGGCCGGCAATGAGGCTTGTGGCGGAGAAGCTCCGGCGACTGGCTGATGGGGTGCAGGAGCAGTCACAGCTGCCGCTTGTCCTCGAGGATCTTAGCCCCATGGGTGTTGGTGCTGGTGTTGGGAGCTCCACATCAACACTTTATACTACCAATAGCCAGACCACCGGATATTTCAGCCTCGAGAAGAAAACCGCGCTGAGCATAGAATACGCCCGATGAGATCACGAGGATCAGATTGCGATTGTTTGATGTAAGATCAAAATCAGTAGCATAATTAATTGTGGATTGCTCGTGTATTGCTCTGAAATTCAGCATCCATCTACTCTTATTTTACAAAATGTGTTAAGGATTGTTTACCACGAGAAAAAACTGCTTCGAAGAAGAAAGGACCTGTATTTCTCATGCAGGGTGGAAAAACAAGCGATGGGCTACGTGGAAGGTCACTGATTTATGTCTTTGGACCTGTGATTGACCAAAAAATTCTTTCAATCTATTGTTCGGATGTACGAGCTGCTCACTTCATCACCCAACTGTAGCACAGGGTGTGCGCTAGACCTTTTTGTGCGTGAACATTAATATTCATGCATAGGGCCGGTACTTCTTTCAGGCCTAGATCAGCAAGAGCTCGGTGATTTTTACGTGTACTTGAATCGTATACCGAATACAATCCTGTGTAGGTGGGCTGCTTCAAGCAAGAAAACCAACCTCAACTATACAAAATTTCAGGTGACCGAAGAATAGCAAAAATGATTAACATATACATTCTGTTTAAGTTCATAATACAAAATTAAGCACAATAGAAACCCGTTAACCTGATAGGTCTTGGGCTGAGGAGTTAATTGCACAGAAGTACCACAATTCGGGCATCACATGCAGATTGGTACCACGATTGCTAATTTTTGCGTGTGAGTACCAACATTGGTCCAAGTTTTTGCAAATTAGGCTAAAACGCGTATTTATACGTATTGACGCCCGATCCGACAGCTCGGGCCCACCTGTCAGGTGCCACGCTGGCCAATCGGCGCGTGCCCGCGCGTTCCCGCGCGCTGACTAGGACGAGCCGGTGCGCTGCAACCTGGTCCGGTCGCACCAGCTCCAGCCCGGCCGCACCATTCCCCTCCCCTCCTCCTCCTCGCTCGAACCCTAGTCCATGGCGTCGGTGATTCCGCCAGGCGGCGGCGAGGGCGTCCACGGCGGCGGTGAGATGCCGTTCTGGCCTCCTAGCGGAACGGCTGGCGTCGACGAGGATGGTGGCGACGACTCCAGCTCCGCGTACTCGACCGACGATGAGGAGTCGATGTTACTCACCATGGAGCAGCGGTTGCGGTTGGCGCATCAGTGGGTGGCGAACCCTAGCAGCAGCCATGAGTTGACGCATGGACTTGGCGGCGTGCTGTAAGTACCCTTGTCCTACTCCTCCTCTGATTTATCCAATTGGGCATTTTTAGGGTTTGTTCATCTTCTGCTTTTATCCAGTTGGGGATTAGGTTTTATCCAATTGAAGTGACTAGTATAGGACAATTAAACTAACCTAGTAACATGGTGTACTGCACTCTCAAATTAGTTCAATGACAGTAAAAATTTGGTATTATTGTGGCTCTCCAAATTGTTCTGTATTGTCTGGTACTGTTACTTTAAATTGTTCTGTATTGTAGTTGCTCTCCAAATTTTGCTATTGTGCTGAATTAGTAAATAATAGACTTACATGTTAATTTAAATTGTACTGTACTGTACGGTTGCTCTCCAAATTAAGAGTAATTATAATGAATACATGAAATTTAATTTGTTCTGTAGTTTGGATGAAGACATTTGGCAAGTAAGGATCCATTTTGATGCAAGAGAACCATTGGTGATGAAGCTGTGTGGTTCAGATATTACTTATCTGAATTTGGTTGCAGTGATGGAAACCCAAGGATTTAAAGCATATGATTGTTTGTTTCACATTGAAAATCCATCTTTAGGAGAGAAAGGGCTGGATTTGGTAGACAGTCGTGCAGAATTACAGATGATAAAGAGGAAGATCCAGGACAAATTGGTGCTTAATTTGCTAGTCAGGGCTTGTCCACCCCCTGATACTGATTTTGAAAGGCAACATTTTGAAAAGCCAGACTTGTCCACTGTGGTGTACCAAGAGCCTGTTGTTTATGATCTGAGTGAGCCTCCTATCTTAGCTGTTGATCAGGAAGGAGTAGTTTTTGAGAGTCAATGTAGCACACATCACCCTGCTGGTCCTGCTGGTGTTTGCACACAAGAAAGCAAGAATGCAACAACCAAGTTGAAAGCAGTTTTGGAAGAAGAAGAAGAAGAGGGATATCAAGGATTTGAGGCTTATGAGGACAGTGATTCCTCTGATGAGGATGGTCAAATTGGAAGTGACCCTAATTACATGGTTGATGATGAAGATGTAGAGGTGGAAGAGGGAAAGAGATAGAGAGAGCTAGAAGTACAAGAGGAAGAATCAGATGATGATCAATCAGAAGAGGAAGAAATGCTGCATTATGAGGATGACACTGAAGTTGAGGACCCATTTGAGGTAGAGGAAGATAGGACTTTTGAACAAGAAGAAGAAACTATAGTTGAACCTGTAAAGAAGAAGCAGAAGCTGCCAGTTAGAAGAGGCCCAACCACTAGGTCACATTGTAGTGAGCTACCAGAGGTTGAACCTGATTTCAGACCTTCATCAGATGAAGAAGAGAAGGGATTGTTGAGGGAGAGTGATGATGATGGTTTTGAGCCACTCTCTTTTGTCCTACCAAAGAAAAGGAAGAGTAGGGCAAAGAAAAGGCCTGCTAGGAAGTGGTACAATGAGAAAATGGAGCAACCACATGAGCAACTGTGTATGAAGTTGTGTTTTAGGGATCAGCATCAATTCAGAGATGCTTTGTTGAATTTGCACATAACACAGGCCAGGAATTTCAAGTATCACAGGAATTCAGATCAGAGGATAATTGTTGAGTGTACAGATAAAAAATGCCAATTCTTAATGGTGGCAGCAGTTATAAAAGGGGAGAAACCTTTGTAATTAAGAAGATGAGACTAGAGCACACTTGCCCTAGTACCACTGAGACCACCAGGGTTAGTGCTAAGTGGCTAGCACAGAAATATGAGCATCTCTTTAGATCTGATATAACTACTGGTATTCAGACTATAATTGATGCATGCAATGAAAAATATGGTGTAGATGTGCCCAAGTACATGGCATATAGGGCAAAGAACATAGCTATTGAAGCTGTGTTAGGAGATCACAAGAAGCAATATCCTAGGCTTAAAGACTATGCTCAGACTATCATGGACACAAACCCTGGGAGTAGAGTAATAGTGACTACTGTTACTCCAGTACCAAATGCAAAAATACCCCACCCAGGCCCAAGATTCCATGCCATGTTCTTTTGCCTTAATGGAGCAAGGGAGGGGTTTCTCAGTGGGTGTAGGCCTTTCATTGGTTAGTTCTTGAACCTTGTGTGAACCATTTACATATTGTAGAGTACTCCATATTGTATCTCACTTGGAAATGTTGATTATGCAGGTGTTGATGGATGCTTCATTAAGCTCACTACAGGTGCTCAACTACTTGCTGCCACTGGTAGAGATGGGAACAACAACATATATCCACTGGCATTTGGCATAGTTGGTCAAGAGGACACACCTAGTTGGTGTTGGTTTCTACACCAACTGAAAATTTGCCTAGGGGGAGAAGTGGGCAAGTTTGGAGCTTATACTATAATGTCAGATAGACAAAAGGTATGTGTTTGCATATTTCATTATGTTTTGAACAAGTGTTTACAGTAGCTTAGATTTTCATTGGTGCATATTTCTTTAGCTTGTAGCTTAGACTTGTTAAATTGTTTGTGTTAGGGGTTATTGAATGCAGTGAATGCTGTGTTTCCAAATTGCAACCAAAGATTCTGCCTTAGACATTTATATGCAAATTTCCAAAATGCTGGGTTTAGGGGTGAAGATCTTAAGAAGTGCATGGATAATGCTAGCTATGCCTACAATGAACACAAATTTAATATTGCAATGAATGATCTTAGAGCTGAAAGTGAGGAAGCTTGGGAGTGGCTTACTGCAATACCAAAAAAAAACATGGGCAAGGCATGCATTTGACACAAACTGCAAGACTGACTTGGTAGTGAACAACTTGTCTGAGGTGTTCAACAAGTACATTCTAGATGTTAGGAGAAAACATATAAGGACAATGTGTTATGGGATAAAAGATAAGCAGATGGTGAGGTGGCACATGAAGAGAGAGAGTGTAAAGGAAGCAAGATGGGAGATAACACCTCATTACAGTGAGAAGCTAGAGGTTGAGAAGGAGAGGGCCAGATACTGCAAGCCAATACAGGCAGGGGTCTACTTATGGCAAGTTACAAGTGGGCAGCAAACACATGATGTCAACCTGGAACTTGAGAGTTGTGGATGCAGGAAGTGGGACCTTAGTGGCATACCGAAAGAACATGCGGTGCCCCCATGTTTGGTTTTGGTAATTGATGACAATCTCTATGGACTAATGGTTGTCTTGAGTTATATTTGAAGGATCTGTCCATAGGCTTTTCTTGAATTCCATGTGTTGGTTTCAAGGAGTTTATGAGTTGACCAAGGTGCTATTAAGGAATTATCCAAAGATTGGTCATGTGAGTGTTGAGCTTATTGCAATCATGTCTTGAAGAAGAAGATTGTGTGATCATTCATGTTTACCTTCAAGACATCATCCAAATGAAGAGAGTTGGAAAGATTCAAGGTTGATCAAGACTAAGTCAAAGAATGAATCAAGTTGATCAACACACAAATCATAGAAGATGTACCGAGAGGGATCAAGCGATCCCATGGTATGGTAAGCATGGTCAATTATGCTTTGTGTACTAACCCATGGTCTTCGTGACAGTTCTTTGTGGGGTTAGGTTGCGGTGTGCAAGTTCAAGTAGGATCATCACGAAGAGATCATATGCTTGAAGCTTGCCGTCCATTGTGGCGACAATGGACTTGTGAAGATGTGCAGAAGAGTGGCTCACCCATAGTGCAGTATGGGGGAGCAATCAACTAGTCTTCTTCGAGCCAATGCAATCAAGAAAGGTGGTCCAACTTGAGGGAGTCAAGATCGTCATCATCTAGCTCAAGTGGACCATGTGCAAGGCAAAGGTTTGCCCTTGATAGGTTTTCTATTTTACCGGTCTCACGGTAGTTGTGGGAGACCGGGTTATAGGATTGATGGCCGTACT